GTTTCGCACCCGGGTCAGTTCGGGTTCGACCCGAACCTGACCCGAAACCCGAAATTGACACCCCTAATAATACCATCACTTAATCTCCTTATCTTACCAGCCACCACCACTTGGAGTAGCCTCTCGATCTGCAAATTCATCTCAACTGCATATTTCAAACAACCTTCCACCATAGGATCGTTCATCATTACTCTATAAATTCAATGTAATAGAGCAATATGGAATTTATTTAGCCTATTTCTCGTCTTTCACTTCTTGTTTGCTCCAACAAACAAAGCCTCGGCTTTGTAAAATAAGTCAACATGACATTAGAGCTACTCATATGATAATGCCCAACAAGGATTCACAACGAATGGAGCACTCAGGTTTTTTTTTCCCTATCGGATACCATTGCATCTCTCAATTACCCATCCTTGATCCTCCCTTAAATTTCTCATCACAAACCACTAACAAAATGTCAACATTCAATCAACCAATGACAATTACCAACATGAAAATACCGAAAGCTTTGGCTCTTCAAGGAAAATGTATATGAGGGATTTCTCAATGGGTCTATCACTCTCCCTGAAATAAAATATGGGAAGAAAGCCTACTGATGCGGTGCATTTTAAGCTAGAATAGTTCCTTAGGAGTACTTTATCTATTTTATGTTATTTCCTTCTATAATGCTCTTTTGGTCTTATAAGTATGAGGTCTTGTAGAAGAAAAGGCATTGAATGAAATATTATACCATTTGAAGCCTTAGAAATTTTGTTTCTTCTTCTTCCCTTGATTGAGATCCCAAAATCCTTCTTGCAGGTCGAGTCTTCCGATGATCCACTACATCAGTTGGTATCAGAGTCTGGAGCTTGAGGAGATCAATGGACTGCGGAAGAAGGTCAGCTGTCGACGACGATCGAAGCCGCAAAACAAGATTTGGCGCCGACGATGAATCGAGCCAAGGAAGGTGGGCTGTCGAACGAGCTCAAGCTGGAATTTGCCTTCTACCAGCCTCAATGCAAGGATCGGCATCGATCAGGTATGACATAAACTTGATCGGATTCAAACGAAACCCTTCCGGTCCCATAAGGAAGATGAGGATGTCGTCGAACCATACGAAGTATTCTTCTTCTTCGCTCTCTCGTCCCTCCCTAGGTAAACGCCCATCACAGTCTTTCGCCACGAATACCTCCGCTCGAGCTCCCTCTCCGATGGCGTGATCCACGCTGAAGTATCCACCGCTCGAGCGTCGATGCGATGGCGAGATCCTCCGCCTTGATCGCGAAGTTCGCAAACATTCCTTGCCCAAACATTTTATTCTGCAATCAACTTGTAACTTTTTTTCGTTAGGACTCGCCTCCGCTCATCAATCGGAGCGCCGGCCTTCTCTTGCGATCACGATTCCGCTCTCCGGCACACCGGAAGCCAACAACTTGCTCCACACCCGCCTCACAGATTACTTCCTGCCTCCTCTGTTTCCCTCCGATCCCTCCTCTACTCCCAATCCGTTATCGCCTCCGCTTCATCAACGAACTTGCTTTCCGCATCCGAGCGCGGATTCTGCACCAGTGGCGACGGTTGACGGCCCTTAAAGAAGCGCGTTTTTGCGACCTGCGACGAGGCGCTGATCCTGCGCATCGGTGACGAGCGCGAACCCGCACCTGGCGACGAGCCGCGATTCCCGCGTCCTTCGCAACGATCCGATTCCGCGCCTGGGTGTACATGAGCGACGATTCAATGCTTGCATTTTGGGATCAAACACTCCGATCAACAACCGCGATCAGAGTACATTCAATAAGAAGTACGCATGCCACAGCTTACAAAGCATTTCAGCTGATAGTTGGTTTCCTAGACATGGGCACAAGAGAAGCTCATGAACCCTTCTTCTTCTGGAACATTTCAATTGCCAACCTGGAGCGATTTCTGCTTTCCTTATTAACTATTTCTTGTTCTTCCTGGTGGTAGGTTGTGGTAGTGAACTTCTTGCTAAAGAATGCCCTTGTGAAATGATATTTGTGCGCCGCTGAATTGGCTCAAAATTCATGGACTCGCGTAAAGAACTCTCTACTCAAGGATCACAAGTTGAGATCCTACATATCTTTTCGTTAGACGAATAGATCTCTGCCAACCTAGGATATCACATGCTTATGCACCCACCGTTGGTTTGTTTTTCCATGGAATTACGGCCTAGCAGAACAAGTTCATTCTGCCTGCACGGGATTCTCAGTATAACTACCAAGCAAGTTGTTAAGGTCCTGCTCCTTTGGTCCTTTGGCCATTAAGCTCAATGCCTGATATAAGATTGAAGGGGAAGGTTTGTATAGTTCCCCTGGGTTAGACAACTGCTATCATCTATCCAGTGGATTCGGTGATCAATGCAACTTCACATGAGGCCCATTTTATGAAGGTATGTAATGGTCTTCATTCCCTTAGCAGTGATGATATAAAAACATACGGTATTGAAGTGTGGTAAAGCTATTGGATGTGGTACTGGGAGTATTTTTACTGTAGGTGTGAAAATTCCTAATTTAAATTCTGCTGAAAATTTTGATTCAGTGCAATGCATCCAAACTGTTTGACGAAATGTCGCTAAAGAATCCGGGACAATAATCTTTGGCCCAGCTTTCATGTTTCGCAATTTTACCTGGGGAGAAACAGACACACATATTCTCTGGGAGGATGCAAATTTGCATTTGAGAATTGAAGTAGAGTATCAGACATATGCTTTCCGTCTTTCAAAAGATTTCCAGGAAGCTGAAGAAAAGGGCTTTGTTATGGATAGGCTACTCGTTTGTGATAGGAAGAACTATGCAGATTATGCAGAATTTTGTTTCAAAACTTTTGGAAAAAGAGTGAATAACTGGCTTACATTTAATGAACCAATAGTTATTGTAGCTCTTGGATATGATAATGGCATTTTTGCTCCTGGAAGGTGCACAGGCTGCACGGCTGGTGGCAACTCTACTACAGAACCTTACATTGTTGCCCACAATCGGATCTTATATCATGCTGCTGCAGTGAAAGTATATCGTGATAAATATCAGGTTAGTCAGAAAGGCAGGATAGGTATTCTGTTGGATTTTGTTTGCTATGAATCTCTTACAAATTCAATAGCTGATGAAGATGCGATAGTTCATTTGATGCTTGTGAGGGATGTTAGTCATGGATTGTACCCCGAGGCTATTAGCATGGGTGAAGATGCCAGTGGAATGCCAACTGTGCTCCAAAGCATTCGTGAATGTCGTGAGATTAGTGATTGGGTCACTCGTAAGTTTGCTGCAGATGCTTTGATTGTTCTTGCCCCGTATTCAGATCATTTGATTACCAATGGGACTTCTCAAATATTTGAGACTTGCTGTTTTGATAAAGTGAAACCCATGGAGGTAACATGATGGCGCCATTGCAAGTTTGGAAAAAAAAATTCAGACAAAGGTGACACTGTTGCACCAGAGGTTGCAATAGAGAGAAAAGTTGCTAATTTCAAAAATATTGAGAACAAAATCTTCGATCCGGGAATCTACCTTCTACAACAACCTCTTTTTCAATAATGTGTCTCGACGGAGTCGAGCCTTTTTACGCAAGGGGAGAATGATGCGGTGCATTTTAAGCTAGAATAGTTCCTTATGAGTACTTTATCTATTTTATGTATTTCCTTCTAGAATGCTCTTTTGGTCTTATAAGTATGAGGTCTTGTAGAAGAAAAGGCATTGAATGAAATATTATACCATTTGAAGCCTTAGAGCTTTTATTTCTTCTTCTTCCCTTGATTGGGATCCCAAAATTCTTCTTGCAGGTCGAGTCTTCCGACGATCCACTACATCACCTACAAATCCAACTATCTATCAAACATGAATGGGCCGGTGAACCCGCCTGAACTTTACGTGCCCGTGAACCAAAACCTGTGCGAACTCTATGACTAACCCCTTTATCCAATGAGCTGCAATGCATATTACATTGTTTTAGCTATATTTTTTTACTTAAATTATACTTAATAATTATTTTTAATTTGTAATATGTTCATATTATTTAATCTATTTAACAATATCAATTCATTTTAATTTGTTAAATTAATATAATAATAATTATTAAAACTTTTTTATTATATTAGTTTAACAATATTTAATTTAATTAATTAAGGTATGATGAAATTCTGGACTATAAAAATGTGAGCTATTTATTTGTTTTCTTTAATATAATTAATTAGTTTTGGATGTTGAAATTGATCTGGATGATAAATGAATATAACAAATTGACAAGAAAATAAAGATTGAAATGAACAAAAAAGAAAAGAATTTTTTTCACTATACGTGTAATATCAGTTTTCGCTCCAGGTTCGTCCGGACGAAGTCGAATCGTCCGGGACGATCGGTACAGGTTGTGCAGAGAAAATCATGTTTGGCTGTATGGTTTTTTTGAGAAAATTATGGGATATTATTATTTAAAGGGGGAGGCAGCTGATCATTTGATGGGACATCATACCAATCCTGCATTATTTTTTATCAGAGCATAAAGAGCCGTATGAACACAGCTCATCTTAACTTGTTGGTTAAGAGCTTAGACTTCCAATTAAAAAATTTTGAATTCGAATTTTTATATATGTGTTATATTGTGTATGTGAATTTATCTTAAATGACCTAAATGTCTAAAAAAAAAATGCCGTAGATTAATTTAAATACAATATCTTGAACGAACGTAATTATTTTAATATATTTTTTTCAAAATTTCAAAGCGATTGCATATTTTAATATGATATTTTAATGCCATCTGATTTTTTTAATAATAAGTTTATATGTGATGCTCATAATTTTGTATTTGAATCAATATAAATTTTTTCTAAAAAATAAAAAGCTAAAGTTAGATTTATAGATGTACCTTTCTAAAAGTTATTTGTATAAACTTAAACTCTTAATAGTAGAGATATTATTCATTTGATCTGATGTCCTCATAATTTTAAAATTTTTCAAAAGGTCATTTATTCTATAAGTATTTAGATATGAGCAAATTTAACTTCAAAATTTCTAATAAAATTTTAACAACTATATCAAAAATTATCTTTATATATTGATATATAACAAAAATAATTGTCTTGATCAAACACAAATCTCAAGACAGATCAGTGCAAAAAAGTTTCGAGATTAAAATATTGTTGCGTCCTGGAATATTCGCGACGGTAGAGAAAATATATAGTTTAACGTCTTAACATTATACGAAGATCCAGCACACAATCAGATAAGAGAGAGAGTGTAGCATTCATAAGAGACACCAGAGTTTTTACGTGGAAACCCCTGAAAAAGGGGGAAAATCACGGGGCCTAGCGCAGTTTGAATGAATCCACTAGTATTTACAGTTGATTACAAATGAGGCCCTTCCTTGGGAGAAGGCCTTGGCTTGATGGTACAAATGTACATCATATAGAGCGCATTACATAGTGGGAGTTACAATAATATACATGTTTGTTTTGTTGGAAAGGTCATAGTTGGCACGAGACGGGGGTCCGAAAGACCGTAGTTGGTAGGAGATTGGGGTCAGGAAGACCATTGTCTGGCGATGTAGGTCGGAAGGATCGTAGTAGGTGACAGAGGTCGTGAGGACCGTACTCTGCAGGAGATAGGAGTCTGGAAGACCGTAGTTGGTAGGAGGTTGGGTCTGAAAGACCGTTGTCTGGTGATGGAAGTCGGAGTGACCATAGTAGGCGACGGAGGTTGGGAGGACAGTAATTGGCAGGAGATAGGAGTATGAAAGATAGTTGTCTGGTGATGGAGGTCGGAGTGACCATAGTAGGCGACGGAGGTCGGGAGGACCATAGTCGGCAGGAGATAGGAGTCTGCAAGACCGTAGTTGGCAGGAGACAGGGGTCTGAAAGACCGTTGTCTGGTGATGGAGGTCGGAGTGACCATAGTAGTCAATGGAGGTCGGGAGGATCGTAGTCGGCAAGAGATAGGAGTCTGAAAGATCGTAGTAGAAAGATGATACTTCGGTAGAACTCCGGGCGTCAGGTGATGGCTTAGTGGAGCTCAGGGCCTCAAGTGACAGTCCGGCAGAAGTCCGAGCTTCAAGTAGTGGCCTGGTGGAGCATAGAGTCTCAAGTGGTGGTACGACGGAAGTCCGGGCCTCAGGTAGTGGTCCAGTGGAAGTCCGGGCCTTAAATGGTGGTCCGGCAGAAGTCTGGGCCTCAGGTGGTGTTCGGCGGAGCAATTGCTCAGGCGGTGGTCCGGTGGAGGCGAGGGCCTTAAGTGATTCTTCGATGAAGCAAGGGCGTCATGCGGTGGTCCGGCGGAGGTAAGGGCCTTAAGTGGTAGTTCGGCGGAGCAATGACGTCAGGCGGTTATCCAGCGGAGGTGAGGGCCTTAAGTGGTGGTCCGGAGGAGCATCGACGTCCAGCGGAGGTGAGGGCCTTAAGTGATGGTTCGGCGGAGCAACGACGTCCGGCGGTGGTCCGGCCGAGGTGAGGGCCTCAAGTGGTGGTCCCGCGGAGCAACGACGTCAAGCGGTGGTCCAGCGGAGGTGAGGGCCTTAAGTGGTGGTCCGGCGGAGCAAGTGCGTTAGGCGGTGGTCCGGCGAAGGTGAGGGCCTCAAGTGGTGGTCCGGCGGAGCAACAGCATCAGGCGGGTGTCCGGCAGAGGTGAGGGCCTCAAGTGGTGGTCCGACAGAACTCCGCCGGTGGTCGAGGAGACAAGGAAGCAAGAGCGATCTCTCTCTTTTTTCCTTAGGCTTTCGGAGGTCCCTTTTCAAGAGGAGAGGGAGCTCTATTTATAGATTTCTGGAGTGGCATGGCCCGTAAATAGGTGAGAGATCAAGGGAGATCAAGGGTAAATGGGGAGTGGTCGGATGAATGGCCGATGTTGAATCCCTTGATCATGCATCATACTTTAGGCATTTGAAGACCTTAATGATGTCAAAATTTGACGATCTTGGGCTCGTTGGATTCGTCTCGTCGATCCGCTCGATTCGAGTATAAGATTGTTACGTTTAGAAATCGTTTGGTAATCCAAATTGCGGTTTGAACCTTCTAACAGTGCTCCGGGTCCTTGATTTGGACACATTTGGGCTTGGATTGGGTTGAATTTGGTGTCGTTGGGTTCATATTTCTAAGACGCTCAGTTCGGCTATTAGTTTTTTGAAATCAGAGTTAAAATGGTCTCTGAATTAATTTTTGAAGTTTCAAACCTGATTTTGTTTTGAGAATCGTGCCCAATCAAGATAAATTTTTGATGACATATCAAATATAAATCATCCAAGCTTCGATTTCAACAAATTTATAGCCGAAGTGAACATCTCGAAGAGACGGACCTAAAGACAATAAAATCAATCCAATCTGAGCTCAAATAAGCTCAAATTAAGGGTCCAAAGCATATGTGAGGCTTCAAAACATTAATTGGATAACTAAATAATCATCAAATATGACATGCTTTTATTGGAATCGAATGGCTCGACAGGACTAATCCAACGAGTCTAAGATCATCAAATTCTGACATTATTAAGTCACTTAAATGCTTAATCAATAGTCTATGATTGAGGGAGTTGATATCGGCCATCCATTTAAAACACTCATGACTTGACCTTGATCTTCTCCATATTTTCAAGTCATTTCACTATAAAAAAAATATATAAATAGGCCCCCATTCTTCACACAAAGGAGTGAGAATGAGGGGGAAGAGAAGAAGATTTGGAGAGCTATCTTGCCATCGACCATCGTTAATGTTCTTCCACCACCGATTTCCTTCTTCATCGCCGAAGTTCTTCCTAAACATCACTTCTTTCCAACCGTCTGATTTTTTCTTGTCACGGTTGGAGTTCATCTCAACTATCATCGAGGTTTTTCTTGACTTTCATCAAATTTTTACACTAGTCCATAACAATGCTAAATAATTTAAAATACTTGAAGAGAATTGCCATAAAGTGTCGGACAAAAAGGCAGAAGGGAGCATATGCTTTATGTAGAAATCATTGAAAAAGAACATTGTAGCATGATGTTGTTTTGTACACCATTCCTATCTAAACCTTGCTCATTACCTAGTTTGATATTGGTTTCGGTAGACAGCTGGCCTTTTTTGTTTTAAAAATATATATGTTTAAATTTTAATAAACATATGAAATTATGCGCTAGAAATTTGGAGGGAAAAAAATGAATGATTATATTAGATAGTTGACAACTAGCAAAAACTTATGGAATAGTCGTGCTATAAATCTTTAAAGATTCATATAATTAATATAATACCTAGGGGTGTCAATATTTGACACGACACGAAAATCCGACCCGGACCCGACCCGAAAAATCCGGGTTGAATCCGACCCGTTTGAAAAACGGGTCG